CGAGAGGCTGAGGTGGGAGGAAGTTGAGGCGGCAGTTAGCCAGCATCACATCACTACATTTCAGCCTGGACAAAAGAGTGAGATACTGTCTTAAAAAAAAAAAAACCAATTACATCATAGCATTCTTAAGGAGAAAGAAGAGCCAAACAGAGGTAAACGTCTGGGTTTTTGTTTCCAAGTAAGGACATGCAAAATGTAACCAAGAAGAAAAATGGTAATCTGGCAGAGAAGGAAAGTTAGCAGGTTCTGAGGAGGAAAGATGAGAACACTTAGGAGAACCATCAACAGCATTTCTTTTCCAATAAAAATGAATGTGTGTCTAAATATCTTCTACAAGTTACTTCTATCATTGCCATATTTCTAGCTAGTCAATGTAGCCTAAAAAATAAATATTGTTCACGTAAGGGAAGCGGTAATAAAAATGACAAGTTCCCCACACAAAATGTTTCTACTGAGTCACTGCATCTCTCAGCCTCCCACCCAGTATGCTTTGAGCCACCTCTCTTTGCCACCCGTTGGAATCTGTCGGGGGACAAAAATCATAATATTTACCTAAGCTGGCATTTCCTTCCCAAAAAGTCCCCTTCCAATTGCCAGGCTTCAAAGAAGCTTCCTCCAGGTAAAGTCATTTTACTAGAAACATCAAAAAACAGCTTATGTGTCCCCTCCCAATGGAAACTGTTGTCATGAACACATTGCTGGAAATCAGAACGATGGTCTGCCTAGACAAGATATCATTCAGAGAGCTGATATTCAGCCCTAAAACATTGGAGGTTAAAAACATTTTTTTTTTTTTTTTTGCCTCAAGTCAATAGAAGAAAAAGACCACACGACGGTTTCGGCATGTCTTCTTCCCTCTCCAGAACCCTGGAGGATCTGCTGCTTGTTTTAGTTTGGTGCTTTGGGACTTTGGCTCTTTCTCTCCTTCCACCTCCAACCTCCCATCCAATAAGCTGGCTGGGTTATTTGCAGTGAGAAGAATTCAAGGGCAAGAGCTTTTTTGGGCGAGAAAAGCTATATTCAGCTTCACGCCATGGTGCCACGAGTGACAGGGCTGGGGCACCAGTCCTGGCAGGCAGGCTGGCTCCCGCCTTCCTGCTCTTGACCATCACAGCATGCTATCTCTCATGAGGAAATAAATACACTTGCTTGGGCCACAACCACGCTGCCAAAATGGAGGTGGATAAAAACTCTGAGGATTTTTTCCCCCCCATTTTTAGTGCGTCACCCAAAAGAAAGTGTCAATTCAATCCTCATGATGGCATTTTTTCAGTTGCTAAAAATAATAAAGGGGAAAAGAACAGCAACCCAACTTTCAAATCTCCCAAGGCATCTGCCATCTTATGATAATCACTTTATCACATTCAAGCAGAATGTGTATTTTGTTAGGAGCGAAGTTATATAATAATAGCATCTCATAAAGTCGTTCTGGAGGCAATGTTTGCTTAAAAAGTGGAATTCCATAGGATGAAGCAACATAGTGAAAGAAAAACACACAGAAAGCAACAGAAGACCAGGGCAGTAAGGAACTAGCTTCAGAGGGTATCAAGATCCAAAAAGAAATTGTGTGTACTACGTAAAAAGAGCCATTAGTTTATTAAACTAATTCCTCCCACACCGAAAAATAAAAGAACCATGGAGAGCAGGGGGAAAAGCACACAATTATTTACCGCCAAAGAGTGGGATTTTCACCCTTAGTTTCCCACCAATAACTGAGTCAAATTGGCCAATCTCTTTACTTGTACTAGGTAGGAGTTTACCAAGCAGCGAAGTGGATTGAAAGCTACTCCCTACAGTGGCAGCACCTCTGCTACCCAAGTTAACACATGCAATCCATTATATTTTTATATCTCTTATCCATTCTTTCCTTCATCCATCTAATATGGGCTTTTTCCACATTGCTGACATTTTGAGTCAAATAATTATTTAGGGGAAGGGGAGCTGTCCTATGCACTATAGGACATTTAGCAGCCTGTCCCGGGCCTCTACCCATCAGATGCCAGGAGTACTCCCCTCCAGCAATGAGGACAACCAAAAAAATGTCTTTAGATATAGCCAAATATCCCCTGGGGAGTGCGGGGGGGGAGGGCGGGAAGCAGGGAACCATCCCCAGTTGAGAACCACTGCTCTAGTATTTCAGTGATAGGCACAGCATCCATTGCTAGAGATACTCTAATGATCAAGACATATAAGATGCCTGGGCATCGTGGCACAGCCTGTAATCCTAGCACTTTGGGAGGCAGAGGCGAAAGGATTGCCTGAGCCTGGGCGTTCGAGACCAGCCTGGGCAACTTGATGAGACCCCGTCTCTACAATAAATCACAAAAACTAGTTGGGAGTGCGTCTGTTGTTCCAGCTACTTGGAAGGTTGAGGCAGAAGGATTGCCTGAGCCCAGCAGATCAAGGCTGCAGTGGCCACAAGCGTGCCACTGTACTCCAGCCTGGGAGACAGAGTGGTATTCAAAAAAAAAAAAGACATATAAGATGCCCATCTCAGGGAGCTTACATTTTAATCCTAGAGCAGGGACTAATGAGATTCATTTTACTATAATCCTCATCTCAACTGCAGTTAGTCACCGTCAGTGGTAGTCTAGATATAAGTACAAAGATTAAGTCTTAAGGTTAACTCTTTACAGACTAGGAGCAACAATGTACTCAATAGTTTCAGGAAAAAATTTAAAGCAGGGTCAAGTACAATGACTCACGCCTGTAATCCCAGCATTTAGGGAGGCCAAGGCAAGAGGATTACATGAGTCCAGGAGTTTGAGACCAGACTGAGCAACATAGTAAGACTTCATCTCAACAAAAACTCAAAAAATTAGCTGAACGTGGTGGTGCGCACCTGTAGTTGGGAGCCTACGAAGGAAGGATCCTGAGCCCAGGAAGTTGAGGCTGCAGTGAGCTGTGATCATGCCACTGCACTCCAGCCTGAGTGACAAAGTGAGACTCTGACTCAAAAAAAATAAAAATAAAATAATAAAAAAATTCTCAAACAGTGGCTTAAAATATATAAATTACTCAAAAGTAGGTCATACACATCTACCACCTACTGATAAATGTAAATATTGTTAAAAAGAGGGATAACCAGTGGAACAGGTCACCTGATGGGATACGACAGAAAAAATATAACATCACTATGACATACTCTTGAAATAAACTAAATAAAGCCTAACCTGAATTTTACAAAGCCTATTTGAAAATTATTCATTTACAGAAAATATGATGGCTAGAGACATGCCAAATGACATCATGATGATATCATAAAAAGAGACCTAGTTTCATCCACAAATAAATGCCAGTGATGGTGGTGGAAGGAAGGGACTATACAAATGAAAAGAAACTTTAAAACTTCTTAATCAAGTGAAATGTGGACATTGTCTAAATCCTGCAGAATTTAAAGCAAATGTAAAATCACCTTTTTTTTTTTTTTTGAGTTG